GAGCATGACTGAGGGTGGCATCATAACCTCCAGACCTGCCCTGCTCTGTGCATGACAGGGGGCGGCGCCCCCACTCCCGAATCGGCCCTGCTCTGAGCCCGACCAGGGGCTGCACCTAGGGATTGGGCCTGCCCTCTGCCACCCAGGAGCAGGCCTAAGCCAGCAGGTCGTTATCTCCCGAGGAGTCCCAGACTGTGAGAGGGCAAAGGCGGACTGAGTGGACCCCCCACTTCCCCCTGAGTGCACAAATTTTTTTGCACCGGGCTTCTAGTTACTATATAAGAATAAATAGGATAAGAATATAACCTTTTTTAGCAGCTATAATACCTTTGGCATCTTAGCTTCTCATTTATGATTATGACCTTATGTGATCTACACATAAATCCCATTCCATTTTATGTAAAAAAAATAAAATTTCTACTGAGCTTTTGAAATATTTCCTCCAGTTTACACATATCAATAGTTAGATGAAGCTAGATCTAAACCTATTCTGTGTGACTTGAGAACACATCCTTTCAAGTACTGATACATATCTACTTTCAATATAAAGTATATACCACCATTTATTTTTCTTTAAAATTTATCTGTTGTTTCCCTAATATGAAGTTATCTCATTGAAATGTCTCTCTTGCTTTGGTTTGAAATTATTTTATATTATCCTATTTATGTTTTGGTTTTTGGTTCCTGTTTTGTTTCAGGATGATCTCTGAGGTTTTATCTCTGACATTATTTTTAAGTTTTTCCTCTTCTAACAGCACTTTTTCCCTGTGAGATCTCATCTATTCTAGTGCCTCAACAATTATCTATATGTTATTGACTGTATCCAGTTTGAATTTCTTTTTTAAAGAAATTTGACTGAATTCTTCATCACCTTGCAGAATTTTCTTTTTTGTGATCCTACTTTAACTTTACTGACTCTGATTAGATAAAATATTAGAAAGATAGGAATGCTATTAGCTCTCTCATTGGGTTAAAATTTAGGTGATGATACTGTACATTATTAAATGTTATAACATTGCAATAATTTTTCAAAAAATATTGTCTGCCCTACCCAGTTAGCTCAGTGGTTGGAGCATCAGCCCATGACTAAAGGGTTGCAGGTTTGATTCTGGTCATGGACACAGGGTACATACCTTACAGTTACAGGTTCATCCCCACTCCATTGGGGTGAGAGGGGTGGGGGTAACCAATAAATGTGACTCTCTCACATCAATGTTTCTCTTTCTCTCTGCCTTTACCCCTCCTTTCCACTCTCTCTAAAATTCAATGGAAAAATATCCTTGGATGAGGATTAACAACAACAAAAAAGCAGATATTATTAATGGTGCATAAAGCAATACTCAATGAAATGTTTAAGAGAGTCTCATTTTATTTAAACAAATACAAATATATTTGAAAGTAAAGTAACAGGAAAGATATATATCACATAATAATCAAGTAAAATAAATACTGGTGTAGCTTTATTAATAATGTGGGCTTCAATATAAGGAAATATCAAAGAAGAACTTTATTTTATAAACATAATTGTGTCAATCAATTTATCAAATGAAATTATACATTTAGTAGCACAGCTTCAACATACATATAACACAAACTGACATCCATCCCCATAATCATTCAAGTCTTTATAATTTTAATTAACATAAAATGTCCCTTGTATATTTGAAATGACTTTATGGAAACAGTGAAGTCTATGAATTCTGTGACCTATGTGGTCTGGGGACAAATTAATATACACAGCTGTGCACAGCAACAGAGAAGCAGGGAACCAGAGAGAATCACGGGGAAGAATGGCTTTGGGAATCACAGAGAGTCTCTGAATTAAAGTTGGAGCTAACTCAACCCCAGGGTTAATCAGAGTTTTGATGGCCATTGGGACCTGGATAATGTTTGTATTATACAGATATGTATAACATAAGCTAAAATGAAATAAATCAACAATTTGACAGTTGTTGGCTCCTGTAAATGAGATTAGACTAAATTTGCAATATAATGATAAAGTATTTTTGAATATACATTTAATTAAAGTAATATGAAAAATAAAGCATACTCCACAATGACTTTAAGATTAAGAGTTTATATTAAACGTAACAGGCAACCTTAGGGGTTAAAAGGAAAACCCTGAAGGTTAGCACCTTATTAATTCTATGCCATGCTTTCCCTTATGAGTTAAATTTCTCTATTTCAATTCATTTTATTTATAATGAAAGTGCCATAAGGATGCTGAACTTTCTCATTGAGATTGTGTTGAGGAATTTCTAATCAACACTTTCACAATGTCAATTGCATTTTCAACATTAATAATGTAAATGGTGCCCATGATAAAACAATTGTCACTTTCCAAATGAGAGTCACATTTCTAATAACCACCATATGAGAATAAATCATTGAACAAATTAAGAGCTCATGGCAAAAAACGGGATATGTCCTTACTATCATTTTTATGTATATAAAAGTGAATAAATGACAACCAAAGAATATAATTCATATTATACACATAAGTAAACAAACAGACACTGCATTTGAGAACTATTAAGAGTGATGAAGGATTTCTTTTTCTTAGAGTTTTAATTATTTACTAATATTAATTTTCATA